GTTGGTTGTCATGAGGGACAATACTAAATAGATTAACCGAACTCAGTAACGAGATACACACTGATATGAATTGATGACTGATAGACATAGATGACTAATTATGTGATAAAGCAAATGTAGCAAAATGTTTATTACAGAATCTAGGTGGTGGCTATATGAGTGTTCACTATAAGATTCCTTCACCTTTCCTGTATCTTTTAATTTTTCATAATGAAATGTTGAAGAAAAAGTCTATCTTTCTTCAAATTTCCAATTGTCTCACAAAAATGCCATAACTTTTTTCTTTTTTAAAGATTTTATTTGGGAATTGGGTGAGGGAATAGCATTGGGGAATCAGGGAAGGGGAACAGACAAGTTGCTGTCCTTTTGTTCTTCAGTCTAGTTGTGGAGGAAGTCGCTTCACTGGCCCATGTTGGTATTATCATTGCGCTTTCCGGGTGAGGCAGTTGCTCGCTGGCCATTGGACAGCCGCCCATGGTAGCTCACGGCAGCTCATGCCTGCTGCTGGCCAGCCCCGCTGCAGCCCACGCCGACACTGGAACTCACAGCAGACCAGCTCCAGGTCAAGCTGTTGTTCACCATCTTAGCTATAGAGGGCACAACATCACTGGCCTGCATGTGGGATCTGAACTGGGGCCCTGCTGCTCAGAGCTGTCATCCCAAGCCAACTCCTAACCAACACACCACTAGGCTGGCCCCCATAACTTATTTTTAGCTATTTGTTCATATCAAGATCCAAATAAGGTCCACATATTGAGATTGGTTGGTATGTAAGTTTCATTTATTTAAACCACAGTATTAATATTTTGGTGCCTTTTTATTAAAGCAACAAAGTCTTCATGCTACCTAATACAGGGCAGCATAGCTTACATCTCCCAGCTGATTCTTTGTTCTGCCTTAGTTTGAGTGCTTTTGTCCCGCAAGTTAACAAAACCATTTCTAAAGAGCTCCAGGTTGTGCTGTTGTTCAGCTTCTTAGCTGTAGAGGGCAGTGTCACTGGCCCTCATATGTGGGATCCGAACTAGGGCCCTCCAGCGTCCCAAGCCAGCTCTTACCCAACGCGCCACTCGGCCAGCCCAACTTTGTCTTTTTTGTTTTTTTTTAAAAGATTTTTATTGGGAAATTGGGGGGATGGGAACAGCGCTGGGGAATTGGGGAAAGGGAACAGAGAAGTTGCTGTCATTTCAGTCTTCAGTCTAGTTGTGGAGGACGTTGCTTCACTGGCCCAAGTTGGCACCAGCATTGCGCTCTTCCCGGGCGAGGCAGATCAGTTGCCGGCTTCTGGATGGCTGCTCACTGCGGCTGATGGCCGCTCACGCTGGCTGCTGGCTACACACAGTAGCCCATGGCAACCCAGTGCCACAGGGGCTGCAGCCTACGCCATCGCCGGCAACTCACAGCAGCCCAGCTCCAGGTTGAGCTGTTGTTCAGCATCTTAGCTATAGAGGGACGTGTCACTGGCCCTCATATGTGGGATCCGAACTGGGGCCCTCTGGCGTCCCAAGCCAGTTCTTAACCATCGTGCCACTCGGCTGACCCAACTTTGTGTATTTTTAATGACACTTTTTACCTGCTGTTTGAATGAGGGGGGTCGCACGTTTTCATTTTACACAAGGCCCAATAAATTAGGTAGTAGTCCTGCTTAGAAGGTAATCTTCAGCCTTTTCGACCTTTCCAATCCCTAGCTAGATTTCTATTTTCTTCCCTGAACACTGATTACTACAGCTCCAGATAACAGGGGTAGCTGGGTGAGTGGGCACAAATGAGGCCACTCCCTGGGGATCCTGAGAGATATCTAGAGATGGCTAGAAGCTAGAAGCTAGAAGCACTGACATCCTACTTTATTAAGTGGTGGGAGTTAAGAGAACATTTGGATTATATTACATTTCCTTCAACAAATATTTATCAAGTCCACCCATGTGCCTGCCAGGTGCTAGGTATGCAGTGTCAACTAGGGAGTCTAACGTCAACAGATAAATAAAGCAGCAACACTGTTTTCCAGGGTGAAAAACTAAGCGTGGAGATGGGGGTAAGATAAAAAGAAGCAAAGACAGTTGCTAGGTAGTGGAGTCATTTTATACCCGTTTGAAATTTTCCATGATAAAATGAAAATTAACTAAATATAAAAATATTTTATATATGAACCTTGTTAGAACATAGTAAAAATAACGGCTCTTATCTGTTTCTGTGCAATAGTTATTAGCGTGGTTATAACTGTTCGCTCAGTTATGCTCTCTATGAGCTCATGTAATGCTCTCAACAAGATTTAAGAGACTAAATTTTAAGATTCTGACTTAGCCACACATTAGATACGGGAACTAGGGCTCAGAGGTGCAATCATTTGGTCTATGTAGATAGAATAAGGAATTCGAACCCGTTTATCTGCGCCCTTACTCGCTTTCCAGTACCACCATCCCGGGTAGGAGGAGATCCGAGAGATCCCAGAGAGGAAACTTGCCCTAGGTCATTATCTCCGCAGAAACAAAATAAAAATGTATTCCCTGGTAGCACTTTCCTCTCCGCTTGAACCAATGGAAATTCCGAGATGAGTAACAGATGGGTGCCTCAACCATTTGGTTCGGTGGCCGGGTTGGAACGTCTTCGCGCGCCTATTGGATGAATCCTAATTTGGCCGCCGGATTTTCCCGGCTCCACCCTATTCCGCGGAACCGGAGACTGGGCAGTAGGGTGGCGCGCCGGGGGCGTGGCCTGGGGTTCCAGTGCAGCAGAGGCCACTATATGTCCTTGGGCGTAGAGGGGAGGTGACACCAGCCGAAGAGGAGGACGCAAAATGAGGGCCTTGCGGGTGAGGGCCCCCAACCCGGAAGCCTTCACCCCCAATACGAGACTCCCTATCCATCCCGGGATCTGGGGCCTTGGAACGTGAGCCCCCTTCAGGGTTTGAGACTCCCTTCTAAACAGCCTGGGATCCCCCCACCCCTCACCTCCCAACCCGAGAGTTTATGAGACAGCCGGGAAACCTAACATGACCCAAAGCCCCAGGTTTGAATTTCTTGCCTTCATCCAGAGCTCCCCTAACACCTCGCGACCCAGGCACTGGGAATTTAACAGCCCCTTTCCCTCCCCCGGACTTCTTAAGCTGTCCGGAAACGCCATTAGGTACCCCAGGTCAAGTCCCGAAATTATCGGGATCTTGGCTTCCCCCATTAACCCAGGAAACCCTCCCCCTAAAAAAATCTTGGGACTTGGACCCGCAGATCACGAGCCTGTGTTTTGGGTCCGCTCCTCTTCCAGGACCTTCTAGACAGCCTTGTAACCTACAAGTCAGACCTGGGCGCGAGTCCCCTTCTGGGCCTTTCTTGACAGGGCACCCTTCCCCACTCGTGCTGGCAATTCTGATCTTGCCTATGGGAAGCTCCCAAGGCCTGGGACCGTCTCCCCCCCAGCTCACCCCTCGCCGGACCCACTTCGGGACGCCTCTCCAGGCGCCTCCAATACCCAACCACCCCTTCCCCCCAGGTTTCCCAGGCACTGATTCGCTCCTTCAGCTCAACCGCCCGGAACAGCATGGAGAACCGAGTGGCTGAGAAACAGAAAATCTTCCAGGTAGGCTGAGAAGGGGCGGAGCGGAGGACCTGGGGCAGCAAGCTCGCCTGAGGGAGGCGGGGGATACCGTCTACGCAACAGTCAGCTCCCCTTTCTTATTGGACGCCCTCAACGTCCAGGCCGACAATGACCTCCCGGTGCACTTGAAGGGCGGGGGAATCGACAACGTCCTGTACCGACTGACCATGGCGCTGTGTGTTGGGGGTGAGTGCTGGGCCGGGCTCGGCCTGAGCTTGTAGGAGGCCGGCTCCAGCTGGAGTGAGGAAGGGGCTGGTCCCCGGGCTGGGGTTTGGGGAGAGGTCTGACTAGCGTCTGAGGGGGAGTTTAGGGAGGGAATGGGGTTCTGAGCTGGCCCGGTTTGGGGACGGTCCTGGAGTCCAGGCTGGCAAATAGTCGAGTCCCTAGGGCTTGAGCTTCTGCCCCAGCACGGGGTCTGGAGCCCAGGCACGACCTGGGGAGAAAGCTCAGGGCCTGGTCTGGATCAAAGACTGGGAATTCCCGACCTGAGCGCAGTTTGGGGAGGGAATTTGCAGAGGGGCTTAAAAGCTGAGATGGGGTTTGGAGAAGGAATTGAGATCTCATTCTGTATCCCCCCCCCTCCCCCTCCCTAGGCACCGTCTACAGCCTGTATTGCCTTGGCTGGGCCTCCTTCCCCCACAAGAAGTGAGACCAAGAAGCCTGCAGGACCTGAGGGACTTGAGCAAACACCAATAAATGTGCTGGCTTCTTGGGGAACCCAGCCCAGCTCTGGCCTGTGTGTGTGTGTCCCTCAGCCCATCTTCTCACTAGCAAGTGATCTTGGGCGTATGGACAGCCCACTGCCCCAGCCATGAGCCCCTCATGCTAGACCAGGACTATTCCTAGGATGTCGTTGCCTCTCAGTCCCCCAGAGGAGTTAAGGACCCCCAAAAGGCAGCCCTGGCTGCCCCTCAAGGCTTGGGGACCTGGGGTGGTGTCCTTGAGTGGGACAGGCTGTGTGTCCTGGGACAGCAGCCCCTGTCCCTGCAGAGGCCTGAGGGTGGGAAGGAAGATGGCTAAGCATGGCCATGAAAAAACAAAGGCAGGGGCAAGTGAGGACAAACTCAAGCACAGGAGAGCAGGGTAGACATGACCTTGGGGAACAGAACCAGGGGTGACACTGACACCTCCGACCAGCCCTGCTCTTGCAGCAAGGGCAGAGATCACCCAGGCCTCTGAGTCCCAGTCTCAGCTGCCACAGAATCTATGATGCATCTCAGCAAGAATGAGGCTACAGCTGAACTGGGATCCAGTATAAGAAAAAAGATAAAAGGACTAGGAGACATACAGATCCAGACTTGAGGATAGACATGAAGGCCAACAAAACCAACACCAACCCACCCCTGGGACCCAAACTCCCTGTGCCCCAGACAGAGGCTGAGCCACCCCTCAACTCTCAGAACAGGAGGCAAATCTCAGAGAGCAGCAACTGGGGTACATTTATTTCTTCCTGGGCTTGGCAGGCTGGGAGCAAAGGCACTGGGGGATGTGGGCCTGTTATGGCCTGGAGTTCTGCTGCCTCCTTCTGGGTGGTAACTGTGAACAGGTGTGCCAGGTGCATAGGGACTGGAGTGATTCTCCTAGAACTTAGAGAAGGGCCCTTGGGGAGTAGAAGCAATACAAGTGTTGGGCTTGGCACAGATGCACTAGAAGGGTTATGGAGTGGGTGTGAGATGGGTGTGTTGGGTGTGGGGTGACCCGTGGGGCAGGGTGTGTTAAGAGTGTCTTAGAGCCAGGGGTGACTTGGGACATGGCATGTTGGGACAAGTGGGACCTGGCTGTTGACTAAGAAGCTAGGTGCCAACGGCTAGGAGAAGACGGAAAGGCTGGTAGGTCAGCAGGACCCGTGAAGACATGACTGCAGACAGGTCCGGCCCTGGGAGAGACTGAAGAGTCCAAAGTGACTCCTGCAGCGAGGTGATGAGGGGAGAGGTCTGGGGATCCCATTCAGGAATACATAGTCAGCTGTAGCCACTGAGGAAAGGAAGGCACAGAGAGTGAGGAGCAGGGAACCTGGGAGTACCAGATGCCCTGTCTGCCCTCACCCAGGGAAAACAGCAGGGAGACAGCCCCGTTCAGAGCTGAGGAGAGGGATCCCTGCTAGGAATCCACATCCCAGATGGCAGTTCTTACCTCCTGGATGTTCACCTGAATTTGTCCAGTGCCATCTTTGTCAAGAGATTTGAAGGCACCTAGAAGAACAGGGAAGGGTTGGGGGGATTGGCTTTTAGGATAAAAAAATACTAATATATGGGATGATGATAAAAATGGCTAGTACTTCATTGAGTTCTTACTCTGGCCAAGCACTGTATAAAGTGCTTTTCGTGTCTTAATTTATTTAATCCAATTCTGTGAGATAAGTATCATTTGAAAATTAAGCACAGAAGTAATGTGCTCCAGGTCACACAGTGAGAAAGTGAGGAAATTGGGACTGAAACCCAGGCTGTTACCCACCTCAATAACAGCCTCCATATAACTGACCTGTGCGCCCCCCATCACCCTCTGCCCAAGTCCCAGCTTCCCACCTACTTCTAACCCCTCCAGCTCTATCCTAAACAGACTACTGGAAGCTCTGCAGGCTCCACTTCCTGCCCGCCAGTCTGGCGTGGTTCCCACTCCTGCCCTGAAACTCCACTCCATGTTCCCCACCCACAGCCAAACCTAGGCAAACAGGTGCCCACAGTGCCTTTGCCTCTTCGCTCTCATTCACTGCTCAGATACCACCTTCAGGTGTCCACACACCTGCTGGCCTAGACACTGCCCTCACTACAGTTACTACTGACCCTCTTGCTGGTAAATTCAATGGCCATTTCTTGAGCCTTTTCCTATGTGACTTTTGGCATCATCTACCCTCCCATGTTCCCTTCACATCCCTGACATACCTGTTCCTTTTTCTCTACCAATGCTCTTAATGCATTGTCCTCCCTGGACTCTTGGGAGGTCAGGGCATCTTCCTAAAGCCAAACCTGACCCTGTCCCTCCCCTGCCCAGAACTTGCTGTGGCTCTCCATTGCCCCCAGTAGTGTCTGAGCACCCCTGAAATTGGCATTCATAGCCCTGTGTGGCCTGACCACGCCCAGTGCCCCTGCTTCCTTTCACTCAACTCTCCGAGTTCAAATTCTGGCTTCACAATTTCCTCGCTGAGTGGCTGTGAGCAAGCAATTTTGCCTTCTTGAATCCTAGGGTCCTCGTCCATAAAATGGGGACAATAATTTCCATATCTCAGGGCACTCTTAAGGATTCAGTGCATTAATGTTAAAAACAGCCTTCATGATCCAGCCCCTACTGACCCCTCCTCAGTCTTGTCTCCCTATCCCACCCCCTCTTCAGCATTCTGAAATGAGTCCAACAAAAAACACCAAAAGCACCATCTTCTCTTTCCCTTCTAGGCCTTCGCACAGGCTGTTCCCACTGCGATACTCGTCCCCACGCTCTCCCTGGGGTCACACCTCCTCACCCCTCAGTTCTCAACTCACATGTGTCTTCTTCCAGAAAGCCTTTCTTGACCCCTCCGGCTGCATCAGGTGCCTCTTAAGTTTGAAACTGTCACAGCATCCCCAATCACAAATCTAAACCCTCTATGCCCTGAGCTTCCCCTATCCCAGCAGTAACCATTCTGAGCTGTCACTGTCTGATGATTTGCCTCCTCCATTGGACTGAGTGACATGAGGGCAGGATCTGGGGCTGTTTTGGTCACTGCTGTGCCCCTACCATTGCCCACCTCAGGGTTAGGCTCAAAGACCTCAACCAGTGGAGGCTGAACAAATAAAATCCCCACCCAGGAAGAGAGCTGTGGTGTCACTCACGGAACATGGCATCTAGCCTGACCAGGCAGCTGATGAAGTTGTCAAAATCCATGTTTCCTCCCTCGTCCGAGTAGCGTCTGATGATCATGTTGTAGAGATGCTCATTTAGGTGGAACCCTGACAATGGTTTAGTCTCTCAGGTGTGGGGGCCAAATGGCCCAACCTACTCCCAGCCCCAGGATTCAGTCTCAGACAAGTTCAGTGGGGGCTGCCTCATCATTCCCACCACCTACCCCATCATGTCCCTGCCAGCCATACCTGCTGCCTCAAAGGCCCCTGGGAGTTCACTGCTGCCAATGGTCCCTGAACGGTCAACATCAAACTGTTTGTATATAGCCTGTGGAGACAGGGAGGTCAGGGTTCAACTGAGCATCTTGGGTTATGGCATCTTCATGGCTTGGAGTCTGTGCTGGGAGTTTTAGAGGTCACCACACACCTGCCATTTTTTGATGTTGTTCCACAAATACTTGAATTCCTCGAAACCCAGCTTTCCTGTCGTGTCACTCTGGTAGAACAGTGTTAAGAATAACTGTACCCAAGTGCATGCATTGTACACCCTGTGTACATGACAATGATAACAGCCAATCGGGAACCTGAACTAAAACCCCAGGCCCCATCTCACCCTAGTCATGTCACCTTAGGTGTGGCTGTATTTCTTTTTATGCATACATATTTTACTTTATATATCTAAATGATAAGGAATCTCTTTAAACATAACCATGTGGAAGTATAATGAACTTTTCCAAATTACAAATTCCTCACCTGAAAGTGGTTGCTAATGCCTCATTTATAAAGTTCTTGATAGTAACTCAATTTCCTAAATGTTAGGACATGTCAAAAACAAATGCATCTTAAAGCTCTAAGGAAATGAAGTGACAGTTCATGGGTTTGTGATCAGAACAGAATGAGATATTGGCAGAAAGCCCTTAGCTCAGGGGCTGGCAATTTATCAGTTCTCCATTAATAACAATGACCAAAACTTACCAGATTACAGAATAAACACCAGACAGTGCGAAGTTTCTCAGGAACATCACTTTTCTCACTAAATCCTCAAGACACCAGCCCCAACCAATATTATCCCCAGTCACAGAGACAGAAACATTCAGAGTTGAAGTCTACCTATGTGAGATCATAGTAACAGCTAACACATATAGACCCACTTACTATGTGTTACATACTGTGCTAAGCCTTTTGATGTAGCTCTAATTTGGTATCACTATTATCACTCACCCCATTTTACAGATAGGCAAATTGAAGCAGAGGCTCATTAACCATGCTAAGGGGTGGAGCCATAGTTTAACCTTATGCCACACATGTGATCACATGACATGAACATATGTATGTCTACACTCCCCTATGTGTTCAGTGCACATGTATTCAAGATCAGCTAATGACTGGCCCGTGTGCAAAAAGACATGTATTCCTGTGCATATGCCTTCACATATCTTCATGTATATGGGTGTACCCTTGTATACGTATGCATGTGCACATACCTGTGGCAGTTATAATAAGCTTGGGTTCTTAAGCCCCAAAGACCTTAGTCCAAATTCCTATTCTTCCACTTATTATTTATGAAAGCTGCATCCTGGCTCCCACTCATGCTCTCAGAAAATTCCCTCTTTGGGGTAGCCGGTTAGCTCAGGTGGTTAGAGCGCAGGCTTATAACACCAAGGTTGCAGATTCGATTCCCACATGGGCCAAGGAGCTGTGCCCTCTACTAGACTGAAACAACTACTTGACTTGGAGCTGATGGGTCCTGGAAACACACGCTATTTCCCAATAAAATGTCTTAAAAAAAAAAATTCTTTGTTAAAAAAAAATTCCCTTGGGCTGGCCGAGTGGCGCATTGGTTAAGAGTTGGCTTGGGGCGTCAGCTCTAAGCAGCAGGGCCGCGGTTTGGATCCCACATGAGGGCCAGTGACGCTGCAACCTCTACAGCTAAGATGGTGAACAACAGCTCGACCTGGAGCTAGGCTGCTGTGCATCGCCTGCGATGGCGTAGGCTGCAGTGTAGCTGCAGTGGGCTGCCGTAAGCTACTGTGAATGGCTGGGAGCCGCTGTGAGCTGCCAAGAGCCGCCGTGAGCTCACCCAGGAAGAGCACAATGATAATACCAACATTGGCCAGTAAAGCGACGTCCTCCACAACTAGACTGAAGAACAAAAGGACAGCAACTTGTCTGTTCCCCTACCCCAATTCCCCAATAAAATCTTAAAAAAAAAAAAAAATTCCCTCTTCACACAAGACCTCCCTAATACTGCCCTTAAGGATACATCCATCACGGCCACCATGCTGCGACATGTGTCAATGCCAAAACCATCAGTCTTCAGATCAGGGTCTGTCGGGGACAGGTTGACAGTCAGAGGCCAGAAGTCAAAGCCCAACTGCCATGCCTCTAAACCTGCCCTATGTGTTGACCCTAGTCACTCACGTCGGGTCACGACCTTGTTGAGAATGTTCATGAGTTCTGTGGCGCTGACCTCCATGTCCTGCAGGAAGAAGTTAGGGGTGGATTAGGGGTGACTGAAAGGACTCTGGGAGTGTCATGGAGGAGGATAGGAACTTTGGGATTGCCATGGTTGAATGTATATGTGCAAGGGCCACCCAAGGGAAGGTATGGAAGGGTTAGGATAGGTCCAGGGACCCCGGGTTACTTACATCTCCCGCCAGCTGGGCAAATAGCCTCCGGAACTGCCGGACCTCCTCACTCTCATTGGCCTCGATATTGGAGTAATGGGTTCGTGGGGGCTACAGAGGGAGGAACAAGTAAGGGAGGGGTACCCGGGCCAGTACAGGTCAGGTGGGAAAGTCAGAGTGGGCTGGGTAGCTGAGTGATCAAAGGAATGAGAGGTATTCAGTGAACAGGGAGTAGGTAATAGCTAAGATTGATGACATGAAAAGGGAGAGACTTAATAAGAGGGATATCATAAGAGGGAGAGGGGCTTTTCTAAAGGGACATGGAAATGTGCTGGAAAAGGCCTCAGTGAGAAGTCATCAGTTGTGGAGGTCGGCTTACCGGGGGCTCTGGGTTGTACTGCGCAGCCGCCTCGCTGGAGGGAAACGGGAATTAGGGGGCGGGGCCTCCAACTGGCAGCACCAGCCCCCGCACCTCACCTTCCCCAAACCCTAGCCTGTCACTCTTGGCCTGCCTTATCTGTCCTTGTCCTCACCTGTCCCTATCCTTGCTGCCCTGATTGCACCTGCAAGGAAACTAACAGGCCCATCCCCCCACCCCCACCCCCCAACAGTAGGCTCCACTCCTATCAATGGCAGATTCCTCAACAGACCCAACCCCTTCAAGGGCGCACTTCATAAAAGCTGCCTCAGCTTCCCAGGGCCCCACCCTCCTCAGATTCCGTGTCTGTCTAGGAACCTACTCCATCCCTAGGGCTTCTTGAATACTTGTTTCTTCCCAACATCCCACCCCAGCCCCATTAGTTCCTGTTCCTTGGAGGGATCATTGCTCAGTGGCCAGGACTAATTAGGTCCCTAATTAGGCTAAGTAGACAACCTGCCCTACTTCCACTAGGACATTTTTCTATTTTAATTCAGCCAGTTCCTGGCCAGGCCAGCCCCTTCAAAACCATTTCTCCTATCTGTAGGCCTCGGCCTCTCAGGGTTCACATTCTCATTTACCCTCCTAGGAAGGCCACACTAAGCCCATATGCCAAGCCTTGCCCCCCCCCCCCGTGAAGTGCTACCCCAGCCTGCCTGACTGGCTCCGCCCCCCTTAACGTTCGTTTCCAGGTTAGCGAAGCAGACGGTGTCGATCCCCCTAAGCCCCATCTCCCAAACCCCTGCCCATCAACAGTCAAATCGCGTCCCCCACAAAATCAGGCTACCGCCCCCCTGTCAAGCCCCGCCTTCATGAACTGTGGTCAGTCTCATTAAGGCCCGCCCCCTCAAGGCCGGCCTCCCAGCCCAGGTCTGGCCCAGCCTAATTAAGGCTCCTGGTCAGTCTCCAGGTTACCCCATTCTATTCTTCCCGGACAAGCCTCCTCCGCCAGGCCCCGCCCCCTCAGGCCCCGCCCTACCTGATAGCGCTTATGACCCCGCCCAGGATGCGCATGGCAGTTCCACCACCACCGCCGCCGCCGCCGCCGCCGCCGCCGCCGCCGGCCCCGCTGATCAGGCCTCCGAGCACATTCCCCAGGCCCCCGCCCAGGCCCCCGCCTCCCTCGCCGCCGCCACCGCCGCCCTTCAAGAACGAGTTAACTAGGAACATGGCTACAACTCAAGGTTCCTAAGGAGGAAAGAAGAGGTCAGATGGCCTCCTCGCCCCAAGTCCGCCTCTCCCCACAAAAATACACATTTCTGGCAGCTGGACGTGGGCAGTAATATGACCTGTCTGGGGCTTGAAGAGTCCATTCGGGATGGGGTCTGAGCTTCTGAGGGAGAGCAGTTCTCGGGTGCGTGCGATAGGGACGGAGGATTATGTATAAAACCCACTCCAGATTCAAAGGGTCCCCGTCAGACTTGAGGGATCCTGGATTGAGTCTACACATAGGCATCATTAAGGGTAAGGGTCCAGGTCTGGTGGGGTTCTCGGAGGCCCCAAGTTGGTATAAGGCATCCTGGACGTGTCTGGGCGCCAGAATCTGAGCCCCAGAGCCCAAGAACTGGACTATGGGTCAGGGGCGTGGATCAGATTCTCGGCCTGGAGGCCCCGGGACAGGGTTTTGGAAATTCAGAATGTGGGCTTGAAGATTTACGTACTCCTGGCAGCGGGATTACAGTGTCACCGCTGGGTCTGTGGGCTCCAGTCTAAGATCATGGGTGTAAGCCCCGGGCCCAAGATAACGGGGTTTCCCATTAGAATTGGGAGCAAGGATCTAGAGGCCGGGACTTTAGGGTCTGAGGGCCGTAAGGGCCGGGATTACGGATTACAGGGGGAGTCTGGCCCGGGCTCTTACACGTCCGCTGGTCCGCTCGTCTGCGCAGCTCCCGGGCCTCTGGCTGTGTCCGGCTTGGTAGGGCGGGGCCCGTGACTCAGGCGACTTCGACCGGGTTAGGCTCCAGGGGGCCGCCCAGCCGGCATCCGCGCGGTCCTAGAGCGGCCCTTAAAACTGCGCCTGCGCGCACGGACTTGCTTTGCTAACGGGATGAGGCCGTCGGGGCCCCGCCCAGCATTCTTCCGGTGCCGCGGGCTGTAGTCCGGCCCTGACCTCATAGGTCTGAGGTGTTCCCTACATCTCTCCAGCTCGGTGAAGACACCCGGGGACGAGAACTCCAGGGTGACCTCGCAGGTTGTAATGGGAATGTTCGCCCCGAAACCGGCCTCCACTGGGCTACACATGTGATTTTCGGTCCGCTCGAGACGGGACTCTTGTCACCCGGCCCCTATCCTGGCCTTGTTACGACAGACAGCATCTGAAGACCCCGAGTTTTATTCGGCTCACAGTCCGGGAACAAGCGCCCGCATCTGGCAGGGACTAAGGGTAGACTAGGTTTTCCAGGACCTTGCTGCAGCCCAGGATGGCAGTCAAACTGCGGGTAGGACTTCGCCGCCTAAGAAAGCCGCCTTGTGCCTCTTCCACCCTCATCCCTTCACCCCCAAGTCATGGTCACCAGAATAATTTTTCCTGGACAGGCCCAAAGTGTCATCTCAATCTCTAAAGAGCGGCCCGGACACAGGAAGAGTCTGCTGGCCAAGCCCTGGATTCCGAGGCTAGCCTTCCCCAAATCGGGTGGTGGGCACGGAATGCAGAAACAGAGGGAAAATGGCGACTCAAGCCGCCTTTGGAGGCCTTTCTCTTGCTCCCTGGTTCCAACCTTCAACCTGTGCGCACCCAGTCCTTTTTCAGGGCTCTTCAGAAGGAGCTGAATCTATTGTAACTACCAGGTAGTCTGGCTGGCTGTCGCTTAGCCTCTCCCCAGGAGGCTGGCTAGGCTTGAGTTTGAATCCTGGTTGGGTGCGGAAAACTGATTTGAAAACCGGTACGAAAACAGTGAGTTGAAGTCTCTGCGTAACGATCTTCTAATCTGTAAAATGGGAACAAGGGTTCTCACGAGCCCCCTATCATAATTGATTAAAACTTAGTAAATAGTAGCGATTATCCTGTGTCTGTACAGGTGCTCTTCCCTTCCTGGTTGACGCTTGCTCATCCTTAGATAATACTGATAAAAATAACTGCCAGGTCCTCTCCTAATCGCCTGACACATATCCGCTCATGTGTGCTCATAACTGTTTTATGGGATGGGTGCTACACATTATCTCCATTTTACAAATAAGTAAACTGACTTCTGAGGTTAAACTCCCTAGCTTGTACTCTTAACCACTGCCCTAATGTACTGATTCTTCAATAATATAATATGAAAATAGCGCAGATAACAAGATCAAAATAGACAAAACCCACAGTCACAGCTAATGCTTCCAGAGGGTTTGCTGGGGCCAGGCCAAGGAACTGCTTGTCTCTGAGGCAGGAACTAATAGGAGAGAAAATGGAGGCTCTGAAGGCAGGGTCACTTGCCTGAGGTCACAGAGGGTGTCAGGACTAGGTCTGAACCTGGGCTTGGCTGATGCCAAAACTCTTGTTGATGACTAATCCAGATTTCCTTCTCACCACACCCCTCCCTGCCAGACTGAACAGCTTCTGTTCTCTGCCTTCTCTAGGGCTCCCTTGCTGCCAGGCCTTCATGTGGACTGTGCCATCTACCTGAACACTTACTTACTCCCTTTTTTTACCTGGTTTTGTAGCTACTTCAGGCTTTGGGTGTCAGCTCAGGTGTTACCTCTCCTGGGAAGCCTCCCTGTCTCCACCCCCATCTGAGAGTAGGTGTGGCTTCTAGTTACATGCTTGTAACTTGTTCATTCTCTTAGCACTCACTGCCAATTACAATCATATTATGATCCAGGTCTGTCTCCCCAACCTCTTAACCCTGGCCAACTCCAAGTCTTGGGCTTTGTTCCACCTCTCTAACCCACTCATGCCAAAGAGGATCTCCCTCACATGCATGGCTTAAATTCCATCTCTAGGCTATCAATACCCAAATTTCTATCTTCAGCCCAGGCGCCTCCAGGCTCCTATACCCTGCATCCTACTCACCATCTACATAGAAGTCTTAGAGGTTGCTTCAAACTTCACACATCCTAAACAGCTCCTGACCTTCCAAACCTGCTTCCTCCCCACCTAGGTTGATGGCATCTCTGTCCTCCCAGAGGCTGAGACCAAACACCCCTGGGTCATCCTTCATCTCTTTCACACCCACTCCAACCTATCAGCAAACCTCTTCAACTCTACCTA